CTTGTCTTTCGCTTTCTAGAAACTGTGAATTTAAAGGGGTAAATAGCAATAACAGCGTCTTCCACTCAGAGATTTCCAAAGGCTTAGCCAAAGGAGATGAAGGGTGCTTGCCAGCATCGCATGGCAAATCTCTGCCTTAGCAAGGAGCAGCAGTCAGATCGGCTGACTGGCTTCTGCACCCTGCCTTCAGCGTGTCAAAGTGTGTGCTGTGTAGATCAATGTGTGCTTTTTTATAGGTAGACAGGTATTGTTCTGTGAGTCTCTTTCTGTGAGACACTGAAGGTAGGGCTTGGCTTTCTGATCCACTTGCATGCCTTTAAAGCTCTTACCACAGGAGAATCTCACATCTTTTTGTTACCTCTGTTATGCAGCTCAAATTGTTTTCTTTCCTGCTTTCTTTATGGTCTTTTTGGTTTTTTTCCCAGCATAAGAAATGCTGAATGTGATGAGAAGGGCTATTTGCTGGGTATTTCCAGGGTCAGTTCACAGAGGCTGCTACTTTTCTGGTCATACATTTTTCCTTATGCAGTATTTCAGATTCATCTGGCTTCAGTTTCTAGTTTCTTCACTGGTTAAATGCTGTTCCTCCTTACACTGTCTTTTTGAAGAATAAGTTGATTCTATATGTTTGTAGAAACAAAATAATTTGTTTAAGACAGTCATGGTTTTTTATGGCCATTAGGTTTTCTGGTCTTACTTCATGCATAACACAGACCATTGAATTTTGTCTGGTAATTCTCACATTAAGCTTAATAATTTGTGGATCGAAGTGCAGCTGTCGTGTATGAACACAACTCATCACTGTATAAAGAAGGTTTGTAATAAATGGATATAACAAGATCTGTCCATTACTGAGCAGGCTTACTGTGCCATGGGAAAATTCTGGCATGCTTACATACTTTGTTTTCACTTGGAGTTACAGTGGGGTTGGCTGAATGTACAGTGAGGCCAAAGCAACAAGATGGGAGGTTTTTTAATGTGGAAGAGCATCCCTTTCAATGGTTATTTATGGATGTGTCTACACAGTCACTGCTGTTGCTGTTGAATTTGTTCTCAAGATCAGATCTGGAACTTTTATGGAGTTTACCAGGAAGTTAGCTCTTCCGTTTAGGATTTTTCTTGTGATTTGTATAACCTTCCTGGAACTTACAAGCTGTAGATATAATAACTTGGTTACCAGGGTATTATGGCAGCAGCCTTGTAATCATTTCCTTACCCCAGCAGCTATTCTATATGCATTTCCACTGAGACTTTTGTTCACTAAGTGCTAAAAATATCAGACAGCAAAAAGCAGAGCTCATCATGGTCATTTCTTGGTGGCTCAGATAGCCACAGTTAGCCATAGTGGAGGGCACTTGGCACAGAAAAATCGGAATTTTCTTCTTGATTTGGTGTGATCATTACTTTCTTAGTTTCAGAAACTCCTTCATGCCAGTAGCATGACTTTTACAAAATTAAAAGCCCCTATGTCAAGCATCTATTTCTGTATGTGAGGGGTATATGTATATGAATATGTGTTTTTATATGTACATTTATGCATAGGCTTTGAGTGAGTAAATATAGTAGTAATAGCAACTATATTGCCCTAGTATCCAAACATTGTACTTACAGATGGTTCACCCGTGGGCTGCGGTGTATAAAACAGAAAAACTTACTCCTTCTAGGAAGGCAAAACTTTGATTTCTGTATACATTAGGAGATCATATCTTTTGTTGTTACTTAATCATAACATGACAAAAAGGAGGGAACAAGTAACCGGGTAAGCGGAACGAGTAACCGGCTAACCAGAACAAGTCATATTACATAGGTATTTGAAACCATCAACTTAAGAGAGAAGAATCAGAGCACGAAAGTATCTTGCATAAAGTTATATTTGCATTGGTCTTAGGCATGCAAGAAGCAGATTAGTTGGGGTTTTTTTGAAGGTTGGAAGAAATCAGATCTATTCCACCAACGCAGTGTCTACAAGTCATTGCAAAACTTTGGAGACAGTCCCTGTACTCGCTCAGCACCACAGCATAGCTGCTCAAGCTTCATCAGACACTGTGTTCATAAGCACTTTTGATTAGAAAGTCGTTTCAGCACAGTTGCAAGTGAGAACATTTGCATCACTCCCAGGAGCCCAACCAGCACTGAGTATTTGCTGAAAAGGAAATTTGTACTAAAAATAAGTCTGACCTTCTCAAATCAGCACTTTTCTGAAATTCCACTGAAATATTATGGCTCTTTCCACTGTTGTAAGAACAGCAAAAGTAACGTCATGTTGGAGGAATTGCTGTCTAGTAAAAAGCTGCCTTTGGATGCAACTTGAGAGCTACTGAATGTTACTTTATTGACACAGGCATTGATACAGATGTGTAGTTTATTTGAGTCATTGATAGATCAAAGTAGGCATTTTGCTTTTACTTTCTTTGAATTTGAACAACTATGTTAGCAGTAAAGCAACAGAGAATTATGCTTCTTTTTCTCTCTTCTCCCTCTTTTCTTCCCCAGAAGCTATCCTTAAGAATGACAGATTTTCATATACTTAAAAACCTCCCAATCTAATATTTGTTAGAAGGTACTATGTCAGTTCATTTCTCAGTTAATTCTTTTTAGGTAAAAGAAAAACAATCTGGGCCAATAACATATCCATAAAACAACAAGTAAGCGTGCTGGGCGTTGTTATTTTTCCTGGAAGCTGTCTCCCATATGCATTTATGCAGAGCGGTACACATGTCTGAATGAGAAGTATGGAATGATGGTACAGAATCACCCATGGGAGAAGTTTCTCAAGCTCAGAAGTGGAGTGGCAACCGTATGTCTGCAGTATCGTAATGCCTTCCTCATCGTGTGCACACGGTGTTATATAGTGGATGATGTGCTGATAGGGAGTAACAGAAAGCAGCTATTCTTGTGCTCCAGAGTCTCACTGTGAGCCGAGTGGTTTGAATCATCAGCTTGCAGACTGATACTGTGGATGAATGAGGTGTAAGTGGAAGAATTTGGTTGCTTGATAAGCTTCTTCCTGTTAAGGCGTTGCTCCTCATGTGTGTTTTAGAAAAGACTTCTGCATTGGACTGTAGCAATTTCAAGAAGGAAATAATTTAATTCTGTTTCTGTATTAAGATAGGGCACTTTGTTTTGTCACTTTGCAGTGTACTTACAGGGGCAAAATTTTTAAAGCGGCAAAATTGCATTTCAAAAAATTGTGTAAAAAGAGAGGGAAACTGTGTTTCCAAGTAGTATATTTACTTCTGCTGCTTATTTCTGCTTTGGGCGTTCCTAAGGGCCCCAAATGATGTTTCGCTGGGCATGGAAACAAATAGAAAGAAACAGTTCCTGCCCCAGAGAGCTGACAGTCAAGAGAAAATGTAAGAGGTGATTAAAGAGACAAATGGAGGAAACAGGTAAAGAAAGTGTCTGCAGACAGAAAGAAATGTGTCAGTAATCACACAGCTATCGGCCTAACCAGTGCTGGGTGGAAATGCTTCTCTTGGGACTTGCATGTACTGTCATCTAGTATGCATTCTCATGTAAGGTATAATAGACAGACAGTGTCTGCATTGTGTTGCGTTTATTTGTGCTATTTTTATCCTTTGCCATCCATCTGACACTTCCTTCAGTTAAAGTGTCAGTCATTGCCTTACATTTTTTTTTCTATTCTCAGTCTAACTCAGTCTTTCAGTTATTTTGTTAATAGAAATAGAGAATCAGCCAAATTTCCAGTTTGTGTGTTTGAATAATAATAGGCAAACACAAAATATAATAAGTAACTAGTCCTTATGGACTTTATCGTCCTGCAACAGAGTCCCTATTTCATCACAGTTGTAGGAGCTGTAATTTTATTTGAAAGCAAATATCTGATAAGGCAAATTAATTACTATGCTATTTTTCAATTGTGTAAAAAATCAGTTGTGTCTGTGAAATGACAAATGACAGTGCAACACTTATGACTTGTTAATGCTTTTTTTGGCATCAAGAACGGAGACACAGGAATCTAATATTAAGTGGTGTTTCAGAAGAGCAAGTTAGCACTTCATTTGCCAAATTAAGTTTCAAAGACTATGTAGTTTGTGAAGTTTGACTTTCTCCCCATAAATCTTGAATGACTGACAGACACTGTAAAATATCTTTGTTCAAAAGGAATCTTTGGCAGGCAGCATCAAAAGTTTGAAACTCTGGAAGGGATGAAAAGAAAATCTCACTTTTGCAGTGAATTTTCCTGCAGATCAACATCTGTGTGAAATTTGCCTGGGAATTACGAACTATTTACTGTATTATATGCTGTTTTCTTTCAGTGTATCCTAAGGCCCTTGTGGTTCCTTTTATCTTCAAGATTTAGTGATATTTTTGTACGTGAAATGTGACTGAGTGAATGTATCAGTGGAACATGGGGAAAAAACACTGGTTCTGTTCTCCCTTATTTTATCGCAAGTTGGAGTGTTGGTTTTATGGCACCTAAATTTATGGGTACATATTTTTATGGTAAAGCCCAATGACTTGTTCTGCATGTTCCATCAAGCTCTCTCAGTCTTTCTTCACTTGATTCATAACTCTGCAGGGTATGAATCCATCCCGTAGTATAACCCTTAATCTCTTTTTAACCAGAATAATGCAGTGTGGTTTTTTTCTTTATGGTGTGTGTCATTGTGTCATCGTCTAATTATCTAAACCAAAGAAGAGGAAAACAAAGTATTTCCTGAAAAACTCCTGTCAGCTGTCGATCAGTGTAGGAGATGAAGTTTCTTTATTGCATATAAGCAGAAGAGACAGAAATTTTTTTGTAACTCACAGATAAAGCCTATCCTTTAGCAAGGTCTGGCACTGCTGGGGCATGTGCTAAAGAGAAACTGGTAGAGCAGTTTCTGCTTGAAAACGTGACCTAGCTCCTCAGGTACGGTGAGACGCTTGAGGAGAACACAGCTCCTACCATTTTCCATTGGCTCTTTTTAGCTTTCTGCATGCAGTGGTTAAAACTGAATCGGCAGAAGGCACTTAAGCCCTTGTTTGTCTTCCACAGGGTGAAGTGAAGAAGTGAAGCCTCCCAGCTGAACTACTATGAGGTCAGAAGCCTTGCTGCTATATTTCACACTGCTACACTTTGCTGGGGCTGGTTTCCCAGAAGATTCTGAGCCAATCAGTATTTCGCATGGCAACTGTAAGTATAAGAGACCAGAGGCCTTCATTTGCTTAATACGCATCAGGGGACTTCAAATCAACAGTATTTTGTTACAGTTGCAATTATTGAAGTTTCTTTTTTCTTGAGGTTTCCCAGATCAGCCGATTTACATTCTCAGGTGCTAATATAGGAACACGGCCTTTTCACATTGACTTATGACTGCTGGGTGGTAAACTGCTTGATTTTCCAAAACCATAGCCTTCTCAAACAGAGACACTTCAGTAGCATAATCAAACCAAATATCTTGCTCTATCCAGCAGAGGAAGGAAGCCACCTCCCTGCCCTGCCCTGTAATCAAAATGTCGCTCACCTGGCTTGATATTCACCTCAGGATATCAAGCATAGCGCACGAAAGTAACCAAGCTCTGAAAACATGGTTTGCTGAGCTAATACAAATAATTGAACTTACTTCTTTGAGCTCTGATAGGTTCCACTTTAGCATTAATCATTTTTTGCTAAACTGGAAATGTAATTATAAACCAAATCAAGACAGAGAATCATTTGTAACAGAAGCTCTCTTCGTTCTTACCAGCAGTAATTGGCAAACTCTGCAAAATCTAGAGTAACACAGACAGCTGTGAATCAGTGTTGAGATTTCTGGCTAAACAGGTGGAGAGCTTTCTGTGCATTTCAACATGCAAGTCAGGCTTAGCATAACTGATTCTTTCATGTTTACATCAGCTCAGTTACGATTACTGTAAAGAGAAGTTTTCCAAAGTCCCAAAAGTTCAGTTGTTTAAAAGGCAGTCTTTAGCGCCTGGGTCTGTAAAAGTATGCTGAGGAGTAGCAATTCAGCCATGAGCAGGAATTTGATTTTAAAGTGAATCTCTTGATTGTCTTTGCGTACTGTGCTTTGGGATGGGCTTGGCACCAGTGAACTTGTCTGTCTTGGGTAACACCAAACTGAAATGCGGACTCTGGGAGCACACTTGATGTTTTCCAGGTGCTAGTAGGCATTTGGGGTACAAGAACAGGGCTGAACTGCTCTGAAGCAAACCCTGCTGAAACATGTCTAGTGTGACCACTGCATCTTTAGCACCAGCATTTTCACTCTTCGGAATTGTTCGTGCTAATGCAGAAATAGCCAGTCTTGATCCTTTTGAGGAAATGGAACATGGGATAACTTCTTCCTCTGTGGCATGGCATGCTGAAATGCACATGAATCTGCGGGCCTCCAGCTTGTGCTAGATCCATGAGTTACAGAGGAAACAGTACTGGACAGAGAGCAGCCTGACAGCTAAATTTGGTATTTTGCACATAGGATTTGGTCAAATGGATTAAGCTTCTCAACATAAATCCTTCCTGGGCTGTCTTAATTTATTTCTCCAAGAGTTCTCAGCATCTGGTTTGCAGGGAAGTTCCTGTTTCTATCCGGTTTTATCACCAAGCTTTCTAACACATGGTGTTCTGAGGAGGTTTGCTGAAGCCATGCTGTGAATCAATACTTTGACCAAACTTTACAGGGAGAATACTTTTAGAGGATGGTAGCTGAAAACACTAAAGAAGTAGCTGAGTTTCTTAAGAACTAGACTCTTTCAAACAGCTTCAGGTTTCTGGGAAAGCATATTGATAGGAAAAAGGCTCAGGCATAGCTAGATGCTAGTCAGCTGTGTATGGCATGCGCATGTAGCAGCTCTGCATTGATGATGATGCTCACCAGAGGTTTATCCTCCTGCTGTTTTCTGTCACTTCGTTTACTTAACTAGCTCCCTAGTTTGTGCATTTAGATTCTAAGATCACATACACTTACGAAGTCTTAACAGCAAGATGGCCCTTGGTCAGAAGTATTGTAGGTTGTACAAACAAATCATCTGGGGAGCAACAGCATACCACATGTATGCTGAGGTCTCACCAAAAAAATTGTGGGAATAGAGTGAATAAAGTATTTTGCTGACTAGTAGAGTGGAGGGAAAGTTGTCTTGTTAATAGCATAAGCGCAATTCAGGGCTTCCACTTAGTATTGTTGTCCAGTTGCCAGAAGAACTGGCATATCAGACTGGTTGCCAGAATAATATGCAGTGACTTTCAGTTTATAAAGTTCAACTGGTGGTTTCCCACTGTTCCTCAGAAATCCCCACAGGTGTTCTACGATGGCAGTCCAATCCAGTGGGAAACCCAGGGAGCTGGCAGTTTGAACCAAGGAGAGCCAAGTCTTTTGCTTTAATCACTACCAGTCCAGCCATTGTGGTGATTGATGAACCACTGTGAATCAGCTTTGTCCTGCTAGGCACATTTTGGCAGGCAGTTAAGCTCTGCAAGCAGTGAAAGAAAAACGGTGAGAAAGTGCTTTGTACCTATGTGCCAAAAGCTTCAGACAGCTTTATCCTCTAAAAAAACTGACCATTTTTGTCTTCTACAAAGATGTTGACTTTCTCCTCTGCAGCTGCAAAGACTGTAACCTTGAAGAACTCTCCACCCAACCTGACTTTCAACCCCAGGCTCTGGTGCCAGGGGAGAACAGAAACCGCAGGTTTTGGCCATAGCTGGGCCCCATAGTGCCCTGTGTTAGCACGGTTTTGTTTTGTGATTCTCTTCTGACTGCATTTTTTTTCCCTTCCCACAGACACAAGACAGTATCCGGTGTTTGTGGGTCACAAACCAGGGCGGAACACCACGCAGAGGCACCGGCTGGACATCCAGCTGGTCATGGTCATGAACAGGACCCTCTACATTGCTGCTAGGTCAGTACTCCACTGCTTGACCACTCCTTCCTTGCTACTTTCAGATGAGCAAGGAGAAGATGAGAGATATTCTGAGTTGTTCTCTGCTGGACACGTTACTTTTGGGATTTTCCCACACTCAGAGAGGGCTTTGCAGCCTGTTAGCGAGACATAGTGAAAAACCTGTTAGTCAGTCAGCTAAGATTCAGTTTTGGGAGGTGCTGAGACAGTCCTTTCAGGACTACACACCTCTGCCTTCCTTTGAGCCCAGCAAGAGGGAAGTTGCCAGAGAAATGGTCCAACCCCATGGGGAAGAGAGTCTGTCCTCCTGTAATTTTGTTTGTGCATGCTATTAATGACTTACTTTAGAGAAAGATTATGCTGGTGCACAAATGCATGTTCAGATGAGGTATTAAACATTGCGGTTTTAGGCATGTTTTTAATACCGTTAGACAAAAAAGAGGCAAACATGTTTGCTGCTGTTCTTCAGATGTACTTAGCAAGGTTAACTGAATTTGATGTCAGGATTTTTTTTGAGACCTATACTGTTATGATACAAGCACATGCCCTTTTATAAAAATTGCATATGGAGATACCCATTCAGTTTGCATAGCTCCGCATGGCACCATCAGCTTCAGTGGAGCTACACCAATTTATACAGCTGCCCACCTGGCACAGGTCAGATGTTAACACTTCCTCTCCCTGCATGTTGTTAGCGAAGGAGATTGATGATTTTAGAGTAGGAATTACCTTATGTCACAGGATGAACGCAAGAAGGATCCAGATTAGCAAGAGTGGGTTGTCCACCTTAGGAGCTCTTGGACCCAGATCCTGTTGGGACTTCCCTGCAAACTGCCCCTCCAGTAGCAGCTTGTTTTCTGTCTGTTTTCTGGTCCTTCTCCTTCACTGGAGGAATACACACCCTTCTGTGTGTGCCACAGAGAGCCAGGCTGTTCCTGCAGATGGGAGAAGTGGTGGGTGGGATGTCCGGGAGGTGAGAGGGAACAGCTGCTGAACAGGCAGCCTCTCACCACCAGCCCTGTCTTCAAAGCCCTTGGCAGCCTTCAGGAGCTGCCTTTCTTCTCAAACAGCCACTCCCCATCTTCTGAGTGGTCGGATGTGTCCTGTAGTGGAGATCTGCCTGTCCTCCACTCAGCACCAAGTAATCAGTTGCATTACACCAGCAGAGTCACTGAGTGCCGTTTTTACATAGCCATGTCCCTGGCTGCTGGAAGGGACTTCTACCTGTTCCCAACCATTGCAGCTGTACCGGCTTCCTCACATGCGCCAGTTTGTACAGGGTCAGGGCTGCAGAGCTCTGGGTTCCCGCTCATGCCAAGCCCTTGTGTGAAGTCTGGGCAAAGATGTGTGTCCTTCCATGGGAGCTACGGTGGCATTGGTTGTAGGGCACAAAGTGCGGGCAGCCCCACAGCAGGGCCTCCCTGTGCTTCGCCTGTGCTGGGGGATTACTATTTTTGCTGCATTTAGTGAGATAATGAGCAGGGCGGGGGAGCGGGCTGAAGGGGTTTGAAAGGTGGTGGCACGATTTCCTCCTTTTCATGGCTGAGTTCCCTTTGCTTTCCTTATGTGTTTTCCTTTCAATTAGGAAATAATTTTCAGTGAGAAGGTGGTAAAACCACTTTGTGGATTTTGCTCTGCTGTATTCATAGTTTGTTCCTAGACTGAGATTGACGCAATTGGACTGTCTCAGTGCCCAAGCAACTGGCATTACAGCAGGAAAGCCTAGTGAAACATTTTGGGATATGAAACCACTGTGTGCACAAATTATATAAACAAGGCTAATATTTGGGAGATAATATGTGTAGTGGTATCTGAATGTGCATTCTTACATATTATGTGGCTATATTTTTGTATAAAACAGTTTATTACAATGCGAGTGCTTATATACTCCTAGGGTCTTGTGACCTTCAAAAAAGAATAAAGACCTGGTCTGTTTTGTACTTACACAAGCACAAAAAATCTTCTTACACTTTTTTCTCTTGGGAACTCAAAAACTCCTTGACATACTCCTTTCCCCCTTCACATGTAACTGAATATAATCCCTGCTGAGCTGAGAAGCCTGTGTGGTACAAGTTAAAATTCAAAGGTAATTTTTATTTTAAAGTAATAAACTTCAGAAAAGGAGTCATCCTTTGATAACTAGTGTGAATGAAAGTTTGTAACTGCAATACTGCATCTCCTTTAGAGGTGGTAGTAAATCTAGAGACTGAGGCAAAAGTTTACACAATCAAATATGTTTCTCACAGAGTTTTGTAACAGAATTCATTGAAAACTGTAAAGAGATTTCTGTTAGCTATCCTATCAGAAGTTGTGTTCATGCTAGCTTTTTTAGACATTGAAATACAACAATGCTAAGTTTACATTTGTACCCAATTATCTGAAAAGCAATCAAAACATTATTAAACATTGGGAGGTTTTTTTGGATTGTTGGGTTTGGGTTGGGTTTTTATGTTTGCTTGCTTGTTTTAGAAAATCCAGTGTTTCCTTTGCAGAATGTTTCCGTGCGCAGGAGAGGACTTACTCAGATTTGAGAACCGCTAACACTTTATGACTGAGCAACTGGCATAGAGCAAAATCACTCTCTGTCAGTTATTTATTTTGTCATATGGGATATGTGACTCCTGTATTAGCTGTTACCAAATAAATTTCTATGTTGCTTCAGAAAGGCTTTATTTCATGTTATCAGGGAGAGTAGCCATAAATCAGAGTGACTCAGCTGAAGCCCATGAAGCCATGCTGTCCAAGTATCTGGCTTGCAGTCTGCAAAGGACCAGCTCTGTTTTCTTCTTTCTCGTGGGAAGGGTACTCCTTCACTCTCTCTCTCATACTCTCTCGCACCCACGCACACACACCCTTTTCTAGGTTTGCCATGTCTCCTCCTCCCATTGTCTTGTGCAGTGGCAGCTTTTGTTCACATTATCTGTCACCCCCCATGGGTACATACAAAATGGCTTATTGAGCCCACAAAGTGTAGGGATGGCTTCCCCCTCATTTGCAGTTACGCATTTCCAGACGATGCTCACAGTGCCCAAGGGTCACGCACAGCCGGAGACATTATTTAAATTCCCTTCCTGCACGAGATTACGCCATGGCAACAAAACTCAGTTCTGCTGACTGGAGGTGGGAAAAACGGAAGCTCTAGGCTTAAGTCAGTTTGTGTTAGAATAACTTAATTAGCAGCGAGCTGTACACATACCATATCTAGTAGATAGCAGGAGTTGGGCAGCAGTGGGAAAAGGAGGGCAAGGACAATCCCACATTGTCCGTGGTTAGAGAGCCCTCCCCTGACTTTGACAGCTCTTTCGCTCTCTGCTGACATTGTCAGCAACTGTGTTTCACATACAACATGAGAAAATTGTACGTAATTTGCCTGATACTGTTTTTCAGATGCTCTTGTAACTTAGCATCTGAGTTTTCTTTGAACTGTTTCTTGGACCAGAAAGTAAGTCCCCTGGAAAGCTGTTTTATTGAGAGTGGAACTAAATAACTCAAGCCTCATTCTGAATACCACTGCTGTATTTTCTAATTGTCTTGTTCAAAAATTAGAAATCATAACCACTGGAAAGGAAGACTGACAATTAAAATCAAGAGCTGTGCTAGAAGAAGGTTTTTAGAGCTCCAGCCGCACCTAATTTGCAATTCAAAGGATTTTTTTCCCACTTTTATATAGTAGGAGTGGTAGCAACAAAGGGTGATGAAAAAAGAAGGGAACCATCTAGTAATCTATGAAGCTGGTATCAGGCTAATGGGTAATTTTAGTCTAGCACCAGCCCTGACTGCTGCTCTGCCAGTAAAGTCAGACAAATAATAAACTGAAGCATTAAACCAGTCTTGGAAGTAAGTGTCAGCTCTGGTTTAGAGTCTGGAGGAGAACCCACAGCTCCCCAGTTTGGCATCTTGCAAAGCAAACAGCCTCAAGCGCTGTAGCAGACAGTAGATTTTCAAAAGTCAGTTCCCTGCAACAATGCTGCCTCTTTTCTCCATGTGAGAGAAGTGTTGCTTATTCCTCTTGTAGCAGGGGTTTGTGTTTGCTTTATTTAAGAGACTGTTTCCAAAAACCCAATTAAAGGAAGCTAACCTTGAGAGCCGGGATTTCTAAAATGGAAGCAGTCTGTATCCTACTTTCAGCAGACCCCTCCAGTGCTGTGGATCTTGCTCCAGCTGTGTAGCTTCCTGCATTTTGAGAAAAAACAATGTTATTTCAAGGAAAAATGAGTTGCTCAGTCCCAATTTGATGTGGCAGTTACTACAGTGATGTGTGTTGGTGGTTTTTTTCAAATTTTAGGTTCCGTACAGAGATGTCCTTGTTCTCAGCTTACGCAGAGAAGAATGCTTAAAAATATCTCTTTACCTGAGTAGCTAAGTCTATTTCCTCTTTCCAAGGAGAGATTGACAGCTAATTGTAGAGAGGAACAGGTGCTCAGGAAAAACAAGAAAGTAAATGCAAGTAAGAAATGTGAACTTTTTTCAGAGGAGCATTTTACAGTTTAGTTTGGTCTGTGAAGAGAAGAATGATTTCTGGGAATAGTTTTGTAGCTGTCAGCCTTTTGCCTACCATATTGTCAATCAAATTATCACAGCTGAGGTTACAGGTGTAATTTAAAAAAAAAAAAAAAAGAAAGAAAGAAAAAAAGAAGCATTAACCTCTTTTTAACCCTGAATGACAAAATGTGGCACAGTGACTGCTAGCCCAGGAACCTGGCAAAGGCTACCTGCAAACTATTGCAGCCGATTTTGGAATACGCAAAGACATCTGCATGCGAGATTGTGGCATCTGCTGTAGGACCTATAGAGCAGAAATGATATGAGGCTCATCTCCTTTCCAAAATCTCATTTGTTCAAATAATTGCTTTTGAGAAAGAATCCTACTTTGAAGCTTTGTAGCATTTTTCTTTTTTTCTTAATGGGAAGAAAGATAGTTTATATATGAAAGTGCTTTTCTGGGAGAAGCAGGCAGTGCTGTCAGTAATGTACCCCGGTAAGACCTGTGATCTTTTTTGAATGGATTATGGATTATCTTGTGCTTGAGAGCTCTCTTCATGGAAAATGAACTGTCTGACGACTCCATTTGACTTTGCATTCATTTGCCTTTGTTTACAGGGACCATATTTATACTGTTGATATGGACACACCACATACAGAAGAAATTTATTTTAGCAAAGTAAGTAGCTTTTATCATCATCCAGAAACCAAGGACACTAGAATGAGCTTCAAATAGATAGGAAGATGACATTGTTTCAAATAACTTGCCAGCACTGCTGTAAAAACTGTAATAAGCAAGTAAGATGGTATTGCTAATCATATTTGGGGAAAGCTAGAATAGCAATTATGTCCTCTGTGAATTTCTGATAAGTGATTTAGCTGGGCTGATAAGCAATCCATACTGAAATACAGTGAGGTCCCTGATGGAACATCTGTCAAATATCTATTCATTTATATTCATGGGTTTTCTGTAACAGCTATACTATACCAATTAAGCATACTGAAACTTTCATCATAAAAAGCAAGTGTTATTTACATATTTTCATGCACACAAATTTTATTCAGTCATGCAAGTACTCACTAAATAAAATCTTATAACATCACTTTGTGGATGTATTCACATCTCCATGGGAAGTTACATTCAAACTGAGAAGAGCTTTCCCTGCATTACCATATTATATATTAACATAAACATACTAGAAATAACCTCCCTTCAGCTCCTTTGCCTTGCATATACGTTGTGTAATATGTGTCAAACACAGCCTTGGTCCAGCAGAAGATCATACAAATTTGGGCACTGGATGAATTCTACTGTAGGAGTGGAGAGTGTTTCATAATAACTATGAATGATGCTGAAAATGACCAAGTTCTCATCAAAAAAGTGAGGGCTTGCAATGTAAATAAACATCCATGGTTACTCTTTCAGCTGGGGACCCTTCATCAATGCACAGCGCCTCAGTTTACTGAGTCAGGACTGTCATGACTATAGTCTCTAAGGTATCAGTATCTTAGACCATACATTTTTAAATAAAGTTTTGATTTAATTAGGCAGCCAACACATTTGGGCACTCTTGAAACTCGCCACAAAAAGTCCAGGCTCGGATTTACCTGTAAACATTCTGGCAAAAGAGTGTTACCAGATAAAGCCAGCAGCATCTTGATAGGTTGAGGGCTCTCTGAGCCTGTTAGCTGACTTGAAGTGGTAAGAATTCCCTGAATTTCATTTCTTTGCTAATTTAAAATGTCTTCCAGAGTACATATTTCATTAAGAATCCAATTAGGCTTTATAGTCAGTAAATGCTTATTCTGATTTGCAGAACAATATCCAATTAAAAGAAGAGAGCATCTAGTACTTTTAAGAAAAGTGCACGTATTTTTGAAAGTTGGCCTGTTGCTGAATTCCATCGGCTTAGGCTTTTAAAAAATGGGTTAGGTTTCTAGTCTAATGAATAGATGGCAACAGAAAATTAAGTGAATGCTCCACATCACTGATCTTTCATTGTTGTGGTGAATTAATGATGGAGAAAGGGTGCAGAAAGCTTTCAATAAGTATATGTTTCACAGCTAGTCTCCCCTAAGGGACTTCTCAAATCAAATGCAACAACCTCTGGGCTCTAATTGATTTCTTTCTTGATCCTTGCAGAAATTGACATGGAAATCTAGACAAGCTGATGTAGACACATGCAGAATGAAGGGAAAACATAAGGTAGGCAATTTTCATTTCTTCTGCATCTGCCACTTTAGTTTAGTTGCTTCACTATTATCTCGGGCTGCTGTCTGTGATGTGGAATGGATCATGCCATTCACTTCTTAACCAGTAATTGTTTTTTCTGTCAACTTACTGAAGGCTTTAATTTTCAAAAATAGTTTACTTTTAATGTAATAAAACATCACGGCAGGAGCCACAGCAATATTCTGAAATACTTAAAGCACTGGGGATTTTGGACATAATGCTTAGTGTACTGATTTTGCTTACCATTGCCTCAAAAGCTGAATTCTGCTGTCCAGACTCCTGCAGGAATTTACTGCAAAGTTTGTGTAAAGCATCAGAAAGCATGAATGTGTACAGTTGTTAGAAGGACTGTTTCTTACACCAATTTTACCCTTCTTTAACCTATGACTAGCACATTTGGTAACAGAATTAGATGCAGACTCTGATTCTTTACACCTGCTTCCCCTACTAGTTACAGATACTTTATGCCAATACGTTGCATTGGTGATGCTACTGTATTTCAGCAACATAGATGAGAATAAGATGGGATTTTTTCACTCTCGACAAAAGCAACAGTATTCAAACAAAATTCACCTATGTGAACAATAGCAAAATCTTAGCTATAACATTAATATAACATCTTCAGTTCTTTGTAACCATTTTTTAAACTGCTAGAATATAAATCAATTACATCTTGCTGATTGTCAGTTAAACACAGTTGAAATAAAGCCCAGAATATCACAGTGGCTACCAGCCAATTTCATTTTAGACCTGACAGTGAAATGTCATGGCATAAAAATAAAACCAGGGACCCAAAATGCAGTAGCTGAAATACTTATTATTATTTTTCTTCAGGATGAATGTCATAATTTTATTAAGGTTCTCCTAAAAAGAAATGAGGATACATTGTTTATCTGTGGAACAAATGCATTCAACCCTTCTTGCAGAAACTACAAGGTATGTGATCTATTTGTAGGATTTCATTCATGCTTTGTCTTTCTGTTGGATTTATTGTGACTATGCTGGCAACAACATGAGACTGTCATTCAACAGTGCATCATCTAACTGTAGAATTTATCCTGACTTGTTTCCATGCTACAGAGCTCAATGTTGATTTGATTTCTGAGGATTGCTCAAATTGATTACCTGCTTCATTGCAACTCAGCACATCAAGAGTTTATTGCAACTTTCCATTGCCCTCCATAGGTGCAGAGTCCTTCAGATCCCTGCTTGGGCATGTGGTCACCCCTCAGAAAGCTCCTCAGCGTGTCACTGGCACCCTGACGAAGTTGTGGCCTGATGCTGAGAGTTACCTCTGAGGCTGCACAATTTAAATGTCTCTGTTGTACTGTTCTCAATCCCAGACACAGTTCTCAAGACACTTGAGGGCTTGGCACAGCAAAATTGGAAAATATTAGAGTTGAGGACCCAGCAGATATGGAGGCTGTGGAAATCCTATGGCATTGTGTGCTGTAAAAGTGACTGTCAGCAGATCACCTCAGGAAAAGGTGCAACAGGAGGGTGACGTATTCCTCACTAGCTGAGGATGTGCAAAGCCCAAACATTATCTAGAGCAGTGTAGAAAACTGTGCTGGTCCATGGATACTCAACATTAATTCCTTGACCCCAGTTTCTTCCTTTGACATAGTATATCCCCATCATCTGCATTTTAACAGGGCCCATTTGTTCAAATATTTCCCATTTTCTTGGGCTTGCACCAGTATAATCTGCTGTAACCCCCAACAGAGGATCTCACTGGAGTAGCTTTGAAATTAATTCACTTAGGCCCTTGATATCCAGACTCTGCTTTTCCAGACACTGTTATGTCCCACATGCCATTTCTTATCCTTCTTCAGGAAAAAGAAAAATTCAGCTTTGCTAATGCTGCTTCTGATAAAGTCATGGCACAATTCTTCTTAATTTCATTGAGTTCAGAATTACTGTAAAAAACAGAGTAACGACATTAACATCCAGGAAGACTGCTTCCTTACTGATGTTTGCTCTGGCTGCTACTCTTTCTTGCTTTTCTGCAATGCTGCCTTACCTTGTTTAACCACTGTGATGGCTGCAGTCTAAGAAACACAGGAAAGAAGTTCAAGGTAGTATTTTCTTTCAGTCTCTGGAGGAAGGATCAAATTAAAATAAAAATACAAGCCTGCGTCGTGGTAACTGTGTGGTACAGATAGATACTCTGTTAACCATTTTTTCTTTTCTTCCTTTCCTTGCATCCTGCTCCTAGCATGCAATGAAGCTTCTCAGTCTCAGTGCAGTATTTAGTCTTCCAACACAGTTTGTGGTTGTTTAGCTCTCAGTGGCATTAATGCAGCTAACAAATCTCAAGCAGTCCCCATCCTAGAAGCTGTCTTCTAATACAAATACAGATTTCTTTGGTATCTTGGTGTGAGGGGTGTAAATGGACCTCCTTACCCTTACTGCAGGTGCTTAATTCCCTGTGATGCAGAATACAGGGCTGTCCTTCCACCCTCCCCATGGAAGTGTGGATGAACCTGGAGTGTGTGGCTCGGTGCAGGGAAAGTTGCTTAGGACTGTAACTTGTTTCCTCTTATTATCACGTGAAATGCTTTTCGGCCCTTGAGAAAACACAGCTAATTCCCTTCAGAGTGAATTTTGACAGGAAGGAAACATGGCAGAAAACAAATGAGCTAGAAGTTGATTAGGGTAGTTGATGGTGCCACATGAGTTATTTTTCATGGTCTCTGAATCTGTACTGTATGTGTTTTATACAATATGAGCTGCTCAAGTTATTTAAATATGCTAGAAAGGTTCTTATTTCCAAAATACAGCAGTGTAAGAATCTTAAAAAGGTAAGATCTGTACCTTTCCCCCATAGCACACTAAAGCTTCTTGAACTTGGCGTAAAGTTGATCTGTATATTTGTATCATTACCAGTACCTGTGGTGAATTTATTTCCCAGAAGTTACACGTAAGCCTCAGATTTTACAATTCCTGCACAGATTAATTTGTGCCTGATGGTAAGAGGATTTCTCTGTGACACAGTCTCAACTGATACAGTAAGACTTGGAGAGCATCCTTCTGAGTATGCAAATCAAGGAAGAGAGCACCACTGTTGAGACTAGAGCCGAAGGATCTCCGGACTTTGGGGAGAAAAATGCAACCAGATAATTGTCCTAGTGTTGTTTCTTCTGGCTGCTGTGGTTTGCAGTCTTTTCTGTGTATAAGAGCACTTCTGTTGGATCACTGGTGAGGATAAATTTTGAATCCTTGCCAGAACCACAGACCACATAGGCTGCTACAGTTCAACAGGAAGCTTGTGTACAGATAAAATATAGACTGGAGACTTTTGTAAAATGTGTCAGGGTAAGAGTGATTAGCTCCAAAAGAATGCCTGACTTAATGGACACACTTTCTTCAGACTGATTTTATTTAACACCATGATTTTTGTCAGATTTTTAATTCATAGTCAGGAGCACAGGTAGAGAAAGGTCTTTCCTTGCTGCCCAGAAAAGAAGAAACACTGTCATGAGCCTCATCTTGGGTAAGAAGTTTTGTTTCTCTATCTGAGGAGTTCCCTTTTGTTTTACAGATGGATACCCTGGAGTTTCTGGGAGATGAATTCAGTGGAATGGCCAGGTGCCCCTATGATGCAAAGCACGCCAACGTTGCATTGTTTGCAGGTAAAGTGATGGAAAGGAACTCTTTGCTTTCTGTCCTGCAGCCCAGGCTTGCCACAGGACTGTGTCTCCTGAGTCCAGAATGCTGAAATCTAAAGGATGACAAAGGTGGTGAATGACTAAAAATAGGAGGCATAAAGAAATCACAAGCATTAGAAGCCTTCCCTTCTCTGGGAGTAACTTCTCTATCATAACCATTGCCTGAAGTCTCAGTTTCCTGGTTCAGTAATCCCAGATCAGGGTTACGCACCATTTCTGGTTGCATCCAGCTTCTGTGAAAGTCAAGGAAAGTCAAGGCTTGTGTGAACTTTAATGAGGAGCGGGCAGGATATGCTTTTTAACAACTCTAACCTTAAGTTAACCTTCATAATAAAAGGAAGTTAGGGAACATGCTGTGATGTGCCCTTTTCTAGATCTAGAAGGAAAGGGAAGGTGATTTTTATTTTAAAGCAGAAAACATCTCAATATGGTGTTACCAGCTGTGATAGACAAAGGAAAGAAGTGTATTGGTTAGTAGTGATTTATACTGCATGCAGCAGAATACAGTTAACTCTGATTTCTACTACGATAGTTTAAAAAAGTGAGTGCTTATTAATGGGGTTCATTTAGGCTGTGGATTCTGTGTTAGTTTAGTACCTCTCTTCATGAACTCCTGATTAAATTGTTTCTTTATTGAACTTCTCTTAGTGTGAACCCTGCTGATCTTTTCTTACATTTGGCTGTAAAGTGGGTAGTAATGATGACATAGAAATCATCCATAACAATGTCAGTCCTCTTGAGCAGGTGTGATGCCAGAAAGCAGACCCTGGGTGCTCACATGGAAGAACTTCAGCTATTCCTCTGAAGATTAAAGTACACAAGTGTTTTCAGCCACTCTCAACTGAGTCTGTGGCCAAAGGGCTATCTTAGCCTCGTGGTTAAGCTAGTGCTGCATTTGAGGCGGCATCATCTGCCTCACAAAGAGAGATTTTAGGGCAGGTTGCATTTTCCCCCCATCTTTATAGTGTAAATAAATGGGTCCTTTTGTTTTAAAAATAATGGTGGTGATGATGATGGTGGTTGTATGTAATTTCTTAATTAGAGTTAACATAAAGTAGAAATTCTCTGATTGTAGCAGGTAATTCATAAACTGTGGAAAGACAGAGACACCATCAGAGAAAGATGTATCCCATGTGTATCTCAGATTCCCTATACTTAAGGCAGACTGAATAACCTTTCAGAAGGGCCTTTCTCACTACACCAGCCAAGAAAATGTTTATGACAAACTTAGTGTAAACATTTATGTTGCTTGCAGATGAAGTTTGGAAAGATGACTCCCACTCTGTCACTGAAGAAGTCCTCACATTATTTGAAAATAAGAATATTTATAGAAATTATAATACTCTTTCATGATGATTCAGAATAAATTTGATACTGTTCAAATAAATTATTGTACAATATACCCCAGAAAGCTGCTAGCTTCAGAAAATCACTTTTTGATATGCCATACCCATGATAACTTTCAGACTGCAGTGAAAAGCAGTTTCAGAGCAGTTTAGGGTACTAATCCAGCTCCTCAGAGTCTGTTGGGTGCACTTACATGAATATGGCTCTTCTTGCAGCCTGTAGACATTACAGCTGATATGTGCAAATTGTAATTGTTCACATGGTCTTCAGGAACTTGGCAGGAAAGAAAATAAATGTGTGATTGTATTAACATGAGTTCAGACATCCATATCTAAACAATTCAGCTTTTTATTCTTTTTTTAAAATTGTTTTTAGTATCTGGGGGTTTTTTGTAGTAATTTTTTTCTGGTTTTGCTAAGAAAAAAAGCCCATTTTTAAATAGCCAAATAATGATGGGAATTACGGAGCTCAGAACAAAGAGTACAGTCCTGCTAATAAGAAACAGTCTGATTTTAAAATCTTGAGCTGAAATTAAACATTGTCTGTAAGTGCAGTGAGGAGAGCTTGACCAATAGAAGCCTCTCTGCTTTTTCCTGGATATGTCCCAGTGCTGGTGCCTTCAAGGCCCAGCACTCCACATAATCTATGTCAAAGGAGGTAGAGGTTGTTCTGATTTTTATGTAGGCACAACAGAAATACAGGTTGCCATCCTTGTGCCTAGATGCTTGTGCTCCTACCAAACATCATGTTCAGAGATCTGTCTCCCACATGTAAACAGCCCTGTGCAGTCACTGTGACCCACAAACAGATTACACAACAAATATAATTTTAAAATGTTGTTGGAGCTCATGTTTTTACCTCCTCTTCGTTTCACATCTCTTGGTTGTCCTTGGGATGCCACTTTGTATATCCTTTCTTATCACTTGTCCTCAGGTTCTTGAAGAGAGCGGAATGGATAATTCATGTGGGAAATGCCTAAAACACATTTTAGAAAAGAAACATAGATGGGCAATCCTCCTCCATCACTTTGCATCCCTGTTTTGCTTGAGCTTCCTGCACACTGTTTAATTTTTTGCTAGTGATCTTTGGCAGAGAAGTCCTCTCAAAAGGATAAATTTGTGTAAGTGTCAATTAGCTGACAGTCCCTGTCTGGTTTATCTTCCCAGTTAAAACTAACAGTTCTGTCAGAGCTTCCCCATATTAATTTTGCTCACATACATAGACAGAATTTATGAGCATTTAACCAGAGGTGTGAGCAGGGAAACTGGATAGGGTAGTTCAGTATGACTTACCTAAACTGGAGAAAAATTACTCCATAAGGTTTTTCTCCCACAGCATCCCTCTGACATTATCATTTTGAAAACTGTGACTTGCTTGTTCAGTTCTCAGCCCCATTTACCTAGCTAGATTTTTTCCTGCCGTGTTCCTAAGGAGATTGCGATGATTTCATTTGCCCCATCTCATTTGACTGATAAGAGAAAGCAATTACGTTATTTCTAATGTCCTTTCCCTCTTGTTTCTTCTTTCCTTCCTCCCCAGAGGGAAAGCTGTACTCTGCCACAGTGACTGACTTCCTTGCAATAGATGCAGTCATATACCGGAGCCTTGGAGACAGCCCAACTCTGCGGACAGTTAAACATGACTCCAAGTGGTTGAAAGGTAGATAAACAAACAAAACAAAAAAAGCTACATCTCTGATGAGAGTCTTGGATCCCTGACAGACCTCTCGGTCATTTCGTTTCACCAATGCTTTCTGGCAGAAAGAAGGAACCAAATTACATCTCCTTTCTTACATTGATCTGTGTACCTATTTCCCTCTTCTCCTGACCCCAAGTAACTGGACCTGACAAAAACTGTGAGCATGGTTGATCAGAATATATATTCCACCGAGCTTTCCAAGCTGGAATCCATCAGTTTACAGCAGTTGGATTTTGCATCCATTATGATTGGAACTTGAAGGGCTCGGTGTGCTTGAGCTGTATTTGAAAATATTCCTGCCCCATGACTATGTTAAGTAATAGTCAAGGCTTTGTGAAGTGTAGAGGGTTTGTCCTGTAATATTAAGATTCATCAGTGAAAATAAAATTATGGGAATATTGCACAAAGCCTTTCTTTTATGGTTCTTAGGGACTGTACAGCTGCCATTGAGTTAGGCAATTCCTGTGCTCTAAATGCCCTCATTGTTAAGAACCGTGCTGTTTAGCTTCATGTGGGTGTTATGAATAGTTAGTGTTTGAAGTGATTTTAACAGGGAGCAAACCCATAGTTTGAAGTCTTTTTCTGCATGCAGAAATGTTTTGCCAGGTGTCGACTTTCGCTCTCTCACTTTGCTTGCTGCTACAGCCACGTGTGGGCTGAAACAGCTACATGGTTTGTTATTCCCTCCACATGCAGCCTGCATGCCATAAAGAGCACTGCTTGAACCCCTTATATATTTCCTCTCTGCCTTTCCTTGTACACCACGCAGGGCAGACGTATTCATGACAAACACTTAGCTACTTCATAGTGACGTTGCACAGACTTGTCCCCAGCTCTCCTGTCTCCAGACAGCGGTTCTTCTTTGGTGGTGATGTTGCTAGTTTGAATATTGAGCAAGCTTGCCTCGTACAGGCAATTCACCTTTGGATGTTTAGTGTGAGTGTATCTGACTTCTTTGCATGCCATGTGCTGTACATGGTACCTAAGTAGGATGTCTTGGTTTTTTTCTTCTAGAACCATACTTTGTCCAAGCAGTGGACTATGGCAATTACATTTACTTCTTCTTCCGGGAAATAGCAGTGGAGTACAACAGCATGGGAAAGGTAAGGGCAAAAACATTGCCTTGAATGACTTTGTCAGATTCAAGAGGAGGAAAACATATGTTATTCTTGGACCAGTGCTGTTAGGAGTGACCTTGAAATGAGAACGATAAATCATGATGACAAGGTCATCATTTTGAGAAGATTCCTATCGCTCAAGCCAGGAGGTTTGTTGGAGTGAAACATTGCACTGTCTTGAAGGGAAACAGGGTGGTTTCTTACAGTGATGGTGTATGCTGGAGTCCCTTTTCCCAAATCGTAAAAAGCACAAGGCAAATGTAGTTAGTTCAGCGTAGTAGGTTACTGTTAAAAATGCATTCCAAAGCAGGGAGATATTTTTCTTCGAGAAATTTGGAGTGCTGAGTAAACAGGGGCAGGAATTTTGTGCTCTGCTGTTCTATTAAAAAAAAGAATTAAACACTTTCTGCATTTTTCCGAATTTCACAATAGCTTTCTGACTAAGCAGTCAGAAAAGCTGACCAAGGTCACAAAGGTGGGGGGCAGAAATAAAAGCCCAGCGAGATTGGCATAGTTTTTAAGAGCTGAAAACACAGGAGTCAGAGCAAGCAGGGTGGGTTGCACGGATTGTGAATATAAAACGTGCTTTTGTTTGGGGAAATAGAAAGCTAAGCAGTCTGTATGGAAATGAGTTTTATATGGGTTGAGAACAGATCTCCTGAAGGATTTATGGCTGTATAGTAAGTGCCACAGCCTTATCTTTTATAGCACATTGTTCCAAAGCTGAGTTTTTCTGTTTCTTACTTGTCACAGATTATGGAAACGTGGGATTAAATTAAGCAGCTTGCTGTGTTATCCCAAATGTTTTAAAAGCAGAATTCCAGCAAAGTCAAACAAACATTCATTTTCTCCGTTATTTTTGCTCTACTCCTTCCAGGTAGTTTTCCCAAGGGTGGCTCAGGTTTGCAAAAATGACATGGGAGGATCTCAGAGAGTGCTGGAAAAACAATGGACTTCCTTTCTAAAAGCTCGTTTGAACTGCTCGGTTCCTGGAGATTCACACTTCTATTTTAACATACTGCAGGCAGTTACAGATGTTATCCGTTTCAATGGCCGGGATGTTGTTTTAGCAACGTTCTCCACTCCATATAATAGGTAATAGGCGCAATAACCTTTTACCTTCTGTTTCCTTTATGTTTGGCATTTCACTGCAGTTTCTTCTTACTTTGTGAAGGTATAAGAAGTGATTTCTCATACAGTGTAATTATTTTGTACCATGCACAAACTGATAGTTTGTGTTTCATTTTAAGACACTTGGTATTGCTTACTTCATTTTATATCTGATAATTTAGAGCAGCTTTCAGCCATTTACTATCTGGACACCTTCTCTGGACTTACTTTTCTTTACATAGGAATAATTCAGACCAGTCACCAAGAAGTTTTGCAGCGGAATTGTTATTCCAGAGAGAAAACAGGATTTTTTTTTCCTCCTCACAGAGGAGGGTCTTGGTCTGTCCTGTTTACATTCAAACCCCCAGGAGCCACATTAGTACTCCTTCCCTCTATTTCACGCATCCCTACTGACACATTGTCTCCTGAGAGAGCCAAGATCCTACACTGTCCTGCTGGCTGAGGAGAAGGGTCCCCAGAACAGCTGTATTTCATTGTTCACGCAGTTTTCCAAAAGCATGGGTTCATCTGCAAAGAATTTATTACCATTACACATTATAACATGTTTCTCCAGAAGTTATTAGTCAAGTAACTGCATCTAATTATTGAGGTCTCCCAGAGAAGTTAAAAAAATAGCAGCATTCTAATTAAAAAATATATTGCTGTTTCACAGAGTAACGTTTGGGCTGAAAGGGAATTTTATTGCAGAAATTCATCTGGTTTCGCTGTACACTCGCCACCTCTTGTCAAAGCCTGACTTCACTGAGGTCATGCACAGAACTGGCTTCAAATGAGAGTAAGCCCAGACCTCTAGTGTATAATCGGTGCTTCTGACATCAAAACAATAGGAACTGTAATGGAATAATTATGCAACCAGTAGGGAATACAGGCTTAAATTAAGATGATCTCTTTTTATGCAAACTTAGTAAAAAGAAGTGAACAGAGATTCAGCATCAGAAGATAGCTTGTATTTTGAGATTATCTCAAAATTGAGTGTGTCCTCCCACTCTCCTAGTATTTCCTGTGATGTGCCATGAATAATACTTTTCCTTAAACCCCGCATTTTAAAATCTAAGTGCTTGGTGTTAAAATCAAGGTACTATTTTAGAGGTCTCATTTTTTGTCAGGTATTGCAGATGACAGGAGGACACATAGGCTTGGAGACACCTCATTGACACCTCTGACATGGACACATCTCCCTCATTCCTTCTCCACTGAGGAAAATATGCAGCAAATATCTTTCAGCTCTGGGACAAAGCTTCCCCCTAGAGTGAGCTGGAGGAGATTCCCCAGCCAAACCTGAGGTCACCCAGGCTAGGAGCTGGTGGTGGCTTGTAGGCCAGTCATTGGAAGATGGCTTGGCTATGACCCACACTACTCCATCTGTGTGGCTTTATCACATCACAGACCCACAAACTGTCATCCTCAAGAGTAAAAGCTGTTGCAGTCTTCCCACTCCAGCGATCCCTGTATGACTGTGGAGTTACATGGTCAGCACAGTTCTCAGCACTTCTAGTTCTGTGTAACACACTTCAAGGTTTTAGGACTGTTTTTTCATTAGGGCTTAATTCAGCGCAAATCTTCTAGCTGGAGTGGTTCTTGAGGTGTCTTTTAGGGTGAGGTCCTATGTGTGTGGCCAAATATACCCATGACCAGCTCTTACATCCGCATACATAAAACTCTTGCTGTGAAGTATCATATTAATGTAGAGCATTAAAGTTTCCTTCCATATAAAACCACGATCTGTGGAGATCAAAGTAAGACTAGTATTGTCTCCTTTCTTGTTTCCTTCAGTAACAAACATTTTGAAACCTTTTAATATTCAAGCAGTTATTTTCGTATCAATTTATATACCTTTATGAGTGTAGTTTTATTCTCTGTAACAGTATTGTAGTTCCTACTTTTTTCTTTGGTGTATAATAACCTGCTAGTTAAAAGCAGAATTGAAAGTCTCAGCCAGATGGGTTCATGCTATTTACCTGATAAAATCAAGCAGTGAAAGTCGGACATGAATACAGTAGTTCATGTGTAAAAAAATGAAAGGTGGATTAATGAATCCTTCCAAGTGACTGACCATGGGAAACCCCTACGCCTTTCAGAAAGTATGTAGGTAAGGATATAATTATGTTTAGACAATGTTATCTTGCAGTTGCATGCAAATTATCAAAAAGTTTAAATTTACAACTTTATGGTCTAAAAACAAAATTGAATTTGCTTCTATAAGCTCTTTACACCTCATTGAGTTAAGCAAATTCTTCAGCATAGTTAACTCATTTCCACTGGGAAAAATTGGTGATCAGGCTGCAAGGGTGAACGGAGTAATAACATGTAAATGCCGGGTCAGTGGCACATTGCAGCATGCTCTCAGTTTGATCAGCATCAGCATCAAATTCTGAACTGTCTGCAATGTATTTTTGAGGCATGACGGGGACTGTGAGAATTAATACCAAGAGATGTTGTGATTTACAAGAATTTAAATATCCAAATAATGGGCTCTGAATGAGACTATTACTCCTCATGCATTGCCAGTGGTACGCAGTTTCCCAGGCAGTTTCCCAGATTCTTTTCCTTCATCAAGATTATTGCAATTACTTCTTTCTATAGAGGCTTTGAAACAAATCGTGCTGGCAGGAGCTGTCTGCTGATTGGTATATGTCAGGCTTTTCCTGTCAATACTCAGCGGTTACAGAGTTCAGGATTGAGTAGCCTGTGACAGGAAGAATTCTCTACAGCATGTTTTTCACTCAAGATTTTATGCATAACTGCAGAATGAGTAACAATTTCTGGGAAATGTCACTTTGCAGCATCCCTGGCTCTGCAGTCTGTGCCTATGACATGCTTGACATTGCCAATGTATTTACTGGGAGATTCAAAGAACAGAAGTCTCCAGATTCCACATGGACACCAGTTCCTGACGAACGAGTGCCCAAGCCCAGGTATGTTTTATGTGTGGTAGTATTGTTCTGTTCCTGGATGCAGCACAGAGTTTTTTGACAGTCTGAACAGCCTTATAAGGTGCAGATACAATTGAAGAACCATGTTGTAAAAGTAAAACAGAAGTTGAGTTTCATTTGGGTCTAAGGTACGCAAGTAGGAATTTTTCCACTTAAACGAGATCTGTGTAACATATATCAGGCCGGCATCAGATCTATTTGATCAGAATAATTTATCACTTATGAGCAGTGTGCATTAAACACCTGTTGCAAATTGGTTTGGTAGTGGATATATCTCATTACGAGGTCTGCACCAGTTCTGCAGTTTGCTCCGCTGCAGTTAACATGCAATTTATGTACCACAGAGGATGCATTATGGGGAGAAAAAAACAGCATTCCATCAAAATGGAGATTAAGTTTGCCTCATTCTTCCTATGAGTAGTTTTCTCTGCCTCCACTTCCCTCCTGTTTGCATGTGGCTCCTCTACTACACAGTCTACACATTTCCTACAAGCACCTGTTTCATTCAAGTTGCTGATGACAGCCACTTGTTAACTCATTTACATCAGTGGCATTTTGCTCTGACAGTGTGATATGAATGTAGATAAAGCAAATTAATTTATCTCATTCAAGCTTTACCACTTAATGTATGTTTTCTGTTGCCTGTGATATCTTGCATAACTTCAAAAGAAAAACACATCTGGTGGCAACTAAGCTTCAGCCTAAATCCAAAGTTGGCCTGTCAAGTTTTAGAGTTGCCAAGCATAGTGTTCCTGTGCTGTCATTATTCTGAGACTGTAACTCAAGAGAAGAGCCTGGAGGTGACTGGAAAATCTAGTAATTCTGTGTCTGTTTTCAACCTGAGCCTTAGTAAGGCACCTGCTAGTACCATTGCTGCAATTTTTTTCTTTTTTTGCAGTGTTTTAGCAACTTGTTGACATCATGGGCTGTCTTGGTAGTGTCAGGCTGCACAGGGGCTCCAAAGTCATTTGTTTGGAGCTTACTCAGATAAAAAGAGTACTGTCAGAGAAGGGGGAAAGGAGAAAGAGAAATCTTCTCTTTCAGTAGGAAGGAAGAAGAGAAAATTGCATTGCGAGTTTGCGGGATGAGCCAACAGCAGGCTAACAGTGAAGATAATACAGCTCCTTCTAAGCCAGTAAGAGAGAACATGAACTGAACTGGTAAACACTGTTTCATGTAACAATTGGCTGTCAATCTGCTTAATAGAAATAGTCATTATTTCTAACTGAGAGACACAAGACACCTTTGAAATAAGGTCATTTTTATTTGGATATGTCAGTATGGTGCAAAACCAGTAGTGCTCATATTGATTCTTACATTTCTCAGAAACATACTGGAGCCTTTCAGGGGCCTCACTTCCCTTTTTGGCTGAGATGCACAGCAGGGTTTACTTGGCTTTATGTTTACTTGACTAAACCAGTTTTGAGATTAAAACTGGATTAATCCAATCATATGATTAGGATTTAGGAGGCAGTAACCTCCAGATTAGATAAACAGAAACCCTAGGCACCACAGTGCCAGAAGGCTGCTCCCTAGGGTTCTCTGGGAATGTCACCTCAGGAATCAGTGCCCTTGCAAGAACCTTGGAGACCAGTGATGCCCTTGGTCTCTCCTTCTCTCTCTCTATTGCTATCTCTGTATGCAATTGCAAGACAACCAAGATATTTCACATACAGAGGCAGGTCACACAGTCTGTGTATATGGAGTTCATTGTGCAGCTGCATGGGACTGGACTCATTGACCCAGCTAGTACCTTCCAGTCCTATGGTACCTTCCTGCATAACATTTAGTTACATATGGCTGAACTATTTATCTAAATCTGAGTGACAGATACGATAGGAGAAGCACCATGTTTTGCTGCAAGTTGACATTACTCCATTGATGTCAGTGGCTTAACCTATGTCAGAGCAGATGAAAATTGGACACTGCAGCACGTTTATGAGTGAGTGGTCCATCTTTCGTCTTCTCATCTCACAGTGGCTCAAAGACTTGAATAATCGTAATGTTATAGGAAATAGGATCAACCAGGCAAGTTACAGATCAGAAATCACCTGTGCCCAGTGGGCAGCATCAAATCAAATGCACACATGCAGTGATTAAGTTCCATCTGAGTGAATGAACTACAACCTGTGTGTGTCACAGTTGGACTGAAGAAATGCCTTTGTTCTTTTAGGTGACATGTTAAGTCCTATTGAGTGGAGGACAGAGCAGGATTTTAGGCTTCCTCAGAATGGCTGAGCAAGCCCACCAGACTTCTCAGTCCTTCATTTAAACCCTTGTAATGCACATCAGATTTCACTGAGGGCCTCATTAGAAAAGGAGATTTGCACTAGGCATCAAATAAGAATTCTGGTTTTACCCTCTTGTTTTATTTAGGCCTGGTTGCTGTGCTGGCTCTACATCGTTAGAAAAATATGTAACCTCTAATGAGTTCCCGGATGATACTCTGAACTTCATCAAAACACATCCACTGATGGACGAGGCTGTGCCTTCCATTGTCAATCGACCCTGGTTCTTGAGAACGATGGTCAGGTACGTACCTCCAAGTGGACTCTTGTCCTTATCATAGCTGTCAAGTTGTGCTAATAGTCTTGCTTGTAATACTCTCAAACCTGTAAACATCCTCGGTGTGCTGGGCATGAATCCAGCCAGGAATGATGGCAACACTGAGCAGATGCCACAGATCTCCCTGAGCAGCTTTCAAGATAGGAAAAAGCCTCCGTCCTTTCCAACCAGGCTGTGCTGAAATGGGATCTTGGAGGAAATGCCATGCAGCAAAGGTTGCAGCCTGTTGGCTTATGGGTCAGCGTTTGAGACAGCTCTGTCAAAAACATTGGGCAAGGATCAGCAAACAGCCCAGGGATATGTACACAGGATACAAACATGCCTGCCAGGATATGTTCACAGGATATGAAGATGTCTGTCGGCATATGTACTGGTATGTTTAAATGTTTACAGAAGTGTACAGGCAGAAGTAATCACATAATCTGTATCCTTTCTATGGCAACAAGAGAAAAATAGTAATGAAGAGATTTCAACAAAGACTCATAAATCAGCAAGCAACAGATACACAATCCCCTTCCTATTAAAATACAATCCCACTCTCTGCTGTGGTCACTGTACTACTTCTCTACCCTCCATCTGTGAACAGAATAATGTGACTAAGTTTTGCCATGTTTTTCTCTCTTCCTCTGTACAAGGGTAGAGTTTTGTGCTATGCAGTATTTAGCTTTGGAAGGGTCTGACTTAGTTTTAGTAATGTATATTTTGGTCAAGTTTTTTTATGTCGAGTTCTGTACCTCTAACCAAAAATGAGAGCAGCAAGCTCTGCAGAGCACTTTCCTTTGATCACCAGTGCAGATAACTGGTACCAAATCACCAGTATTCATTTTCAATAAATTGTGTCATCATAAGATTCAATATAATCTCAGAACTGAACTTGCTTAGTGGCAGTTGTGTGATTACTTCTACTGAGATAAAATGGTATTTAGTGTCTCATTATTGCTCTTACACAGCTTTTCCTGCCAAAAAAGTTGAATGTAGATCAGTTATCCTTATTGCTGCTTTTAATGTGACAGAGCTTGAAGTTAACCAGATATTTCCCTGTGCTGATTTCATTTCTCTGCCTGAAGAAGTCAACAGACCAGTAGTTTGCTTTTGATTGGAAGGATAATTCCTAAATGGCCAGACTCTTTAGCACCCATTCAGTTTTCTGCAAACACTTCTGCTAGCTGCGAGACATATGGATGTGCAGACAAACACACAAAAATTCCCCACCGTTTGGGGAGCCAACTAGTACAGACTGTGTTGACTTATAGGGTTATTCAGCTAGGAAAAGTGCGTAAGTATGCTATATGGTTGCTAGAAGGCTACCACACAATTATCTGAGTTGGAAAAAGTGATAAATGGCAATCTAATTGCAAGTGATGCAAAATGCTGTATTGTTATTCTAGATACCGCCTGACCAAAATTGCTGTGGACTCTACTGCTGGGCCCTATCAAAACTACACAGTGGTTTTCTTGGGATCAGAGAAGGGAATCATCCTGAAGTTCTTGGCACGGACAGGAAACAGTGTAAATGATAGCCTTTTCCTGGAGGAGATGAACATTTACAATCCTGAAAAGTTTGTATCTGATTCTTTGTGCTCCTGTATGGGTGACTTTCAACTTCCAATCTCCCAGAGACTAGCTTGTCCCACAAAAAGGGAAGTGGTTATAGAAGCCAAGTTTTTTGAGTAATTGCAAATTGTTTAGGGAAGGGATGTCTGCTTATCAGTCTCTACATGGCAATAAGGTATTTTTTATTCAGTATGTGTAGAAAATAGCCCATCCTATGCAGCAGTTGATGGATAATTAAAAGTGAAACTCTGCAAAGGAAGATTAATTTTCTAATCCTATAAAAAACCTGATTCCTCTCCAAATAGCTCAAGGACCAGCAAGCTGCTCTCCAAGGGAAATTTCCTGCATTTCAGCCTTCCTCAATTATGCCTAAGGGGACTTTGAAGTGGGCCATAATCATGCAGAAATTTCAGCTACTTTGAGTATCAGAGAAAAATAAACACAACAAGTAAAGGGCCCTCAGAAAGCTTGTCTGCTGTGCTGTCTCTCTCCACTTCTTACTCCTCTGCCCCGTACATTTTTAATACTCACTTATATGTCTTGTCAGTGCTTTTAGTGGCTATTTTGTGTTCCTTTTCCTTGGCGTGTTCAATTGTACTTTTCTCAGGTTTTGGGGGGTTTGTGGAGTTTTTTCAGCTTGAGGAATCATTAAGTTTTCATCTGGTTTCCCAGCAGAACTCATTTATAATCTTGTATCACATTCTTTTCAATCAGGTGTAGCTATGATGGCGTGGAGGACAAGCGGATAGTGGGCATGCAGCTCGACAAGCCCAGCAGCACCCTGTACGTCGCCTTCTCCACCTGTGTCGTCAAGGTTCCTCTGGGACGCTGCGAGCGCCATGGCAAATGCAAAAAGTATGTGCTTTCTGGTGGCTGTCAGAAGCCCCTGTGCCAGGCACAGGGAAGACGGGAGCACTCATGAATGCCACCTTGTGCTCTTCTTTCTCAAGGGCCTGCATAGCATCCAGAGACCCCTACTGCAGATGGGTGAAGGAGAGCGGGGCATGCATGCAGCTGGTGCTTGGCTCCAAGTGAGTAAGGGCTTTGGCTGGACCGGCCGTGAAGCTTTGGCAGTGGCGCCAGGCGGTCTTGGGCAAAGCTATTTAAAACATGGGGTTAAGGGAAAGAAAAATGTGGGAAGCGTTTGTTTCTACCTTATTTGCATTCACCTCTGAAATGTCTCATGAATTTTTTTATGTGAACTCTCAGCTGATTGGTAACTGCTGAAAGAGGAGGAGGAAGAAAATGAAAGAGCTGTATTAAGGTCCGCGTGTTGTTGAAAGGAGGGAACTGGATGGGTATGTCTGGACCAGCCCACACTGGAGCCATCACAGCTGATTAAAGAGGCAATCGAATCCAAATTAAATTACTGAAGCAATTTGTCCACTGGAAACAAAACCAGTCCTTCTAATTTACTGTGCATTACTAAGAGGAATCACAGAGCACAGTAAGAGCTTAAAGCAGATTCAGAGAAGTGCTGGATCTCCCCTTGCTTAGCAGTAGAATTTAATTATTCTACAATAATGAAGGTCTGTGAAGTTCTGTTTAAATGTGGTTAGTAAAGCCTCCTTCAGGGAGCAGGCTTACTTCAGACCTCTAATTTCTTGGCCACATCTGAGACACTTCACACTTGCCCTGTACTCTGAGGTACAGCTGTGCTTCCTCAAGGTGAGCGTAGCACAAACATCAGACAATCTCAATAGCCCCACAGCTGACCCCACTTAACTGTGCTTCTGTGTAGGTCTTTAGTATATCATGGATGCCTTACCATCCCTGTGCCTGTTCACTATTTCAATTCAAATTGTTGTCCACTGGGGATGCTATAGCTATACCTGTCTGTATATGGCTTTTCTACAAAGGTGTGGAGTATTCCTGACTGGAAATTTGGTAGAATAATGTTAAAGTGCACCTGTGTCTCTGTCAGGTTTTCTCATCATTCCCAAGGTCTTTTTGCACTTCCATGGCACTGTACCTTGTAAAAGCAGGTCCTGTGTTTATTAACAGATCCATCGAGACAGAAGCAGTACGGCTTGCAATGGTGCAGTCCGGAGGTGAGCACGGCAGGTCACTCACTGTCCAGTGCTGCCTTTAGGAAGGGGATCCAGATCAGCTGTGAAGATGTCTGGTGAACTTCTAAACTAGCCAACAGAAGGCAGGGATGTTAGGTGCCCTCCTGGACTAGACGTTGGTTGAGCAGGAGTTTTAAGAATGTGGAGCTGGGAGTAAGGTGCCTGCAAGGGTAATTATGCCTCAAGGCCAGGATCCTAACTAATGTAGACAAGGGCTTGTGTTTGGTGGTTTTCCAAGGCTCTTGTCATTCACCTTTGACCGTACACAAAGTTGGAAGTGCAGCTTCACTAGTTATCCAGAATCACAGGCAGAGGTTAGGAGCGTCAACTGGGCACGTCAGCTAGAAGAGCCTGTGGGTGTTTTTGGTAGAGCCTCTTGAGTTCAGTGGGATGCATTCTGTGAACTGGACCTTACGCCTTGCAGCCTCGTCCAGCACAGTACATAAATGCTGAATGCCAAAATGCAGGTTGTCTTCCCCCAGCACAGTACCTGCTCAATGAGTTAGCTTCATTCTCACATCAAAGTATTGGTGCACCTTGTCTACTATATGGACAAGTTAAGGTAGGATCATAATTGCTCCTTATAATGCCATCTATTACAGAGTTAACAATTAAAAATATTAATATATTTGCCTCCCTTGACAAAAAGGCATGCATTGGATTTTTTAAAAGTACTAATAAAAAGACAAAGCATCATTAGAAGCTGAGAAATCATTCAGCAATGATGAATAACTCAAATGTCTGTGTTCCAACTTTTTAGTCTTTGTGTGGAAGTTCCAAAGAAGTGTCCAGTTTCACGATGGGGCTTTATTTCGGTTACACATGTGACAATTTCTTTCTGGTAGTGCCTGTGACTGTTGTTATTCATACTGTTTTGTTTCTTTCTATTATTTAGACTGACATTTGAACAGGACATAGAACATGGCAATACAGATGGCCTGGGTGACTGCCAAAGTAAGCAAAGCTTTTACCCTCTATTTACTGTGTGTCACAGCATCCTTCTGAATGCCTCAAATGACCATAACCTGTCAGGCATTCTTTTGTAGCAGTGTAAGTGACAACAGGGACAGCAACTGCAGGTAGTGATGCAGGTTCAGAAGAAGAATGGTTGTTTGAATGTATTTGAAGAAAACAGCCCAGTTGGTGTGATTTATACGAACACCAGAATTCAAAGCAGTTAGGTAGTGAGAAAATCTCAGTTCCAGAGTATGTTGATTATAGTCATAACATAATGAATTGACACTTTGCCTTTATTAGCCGTGGTGGGTGGGTTATTTATGTAGGTGTACAGAAATTTCGTGGTTTCTTGGTGTAGACCATGACTTGGACTACATTCCCATGCAGGACAAGGAGACAGTGAAATATAGCTTCAGCTTTGGATCTGGATCAAGAAGTGGGAACTACTTAGTTTGTGAATCTTTGTGGGTTTTACTCACAGACCAGACAACATAGTGGTATTCAGGGTCAGGCACTACTGACCCTGCCTAAGAAATTGAATAGTAAACCTTAGGTACTGCCAGCATAAGCTGAAAGCTTAAACACAGTCTTTAAACATTTACATTTTGCACTGAGGTGCTTAAAAGTGCACAGCTTGCACTGCATGCAAAGAAAGATGCAAAAATGCTGATTTCTGAGCCTTCAGGAATACCAACATCTGTGTTCAGGACAACTCTCATTCTAAATGTTCTTGCCAAGCTTGGTTTAATTCTGAGCCAAATACTATTTATAAACCTTATGAAATCAAGACTCACGTCCTTTTTGGTGCAATTTGCACTGATGCCTGTAGATGCAATAAAACTGCTGAAGCTGAGGAAGTAATGTACAGTGAGAAAGTCATTACTTCTTGAATACAGAGATAAAATAATGGAAGGCTAGAGTGTGTCATGGGACGCTGCGCAGCCCAGCTGCTCTGGAGGAAGCCAGAGCCTTCTCATGCCTTGTGCATCCTTGTTTAAGAGCCATTTATTATTGTGATAACTGTGCTTGAGGGAGTACAAGGATTTCACCCTCTGTATGCCCTCCATCTCAGCTACGCCTCCCTCTGCCCCTGCCCTAAGACAGGGTTACATCAGCTGTCTCTTTAAGTTTTATAAGGAGGCATACACATAGTCCCTCCTGTGCTCGCTGTAAAATGGATTAGCACCAAAATCAGGTCAGTTCCCAGCTGGTGCAACTTCCCCCTTTTCAGACAGTTCTGCGCTTCCTGGGCAAATAGGTTAGACAGGAGCGGAATGTACCTAAATATCAAAGAAGAGTAGGAAATTATTCAGAAGCAGCACATTGTGCTCATGGAGAGAGATCTGCTCCTGTGCAGAGAGCAGCAAAGCCCATACCCTGCTTAAATCCCTCTTTACCCCCTGAATGGTGCATTGAACCTTGACACTGCGCAGGGATAGATTTCACTCCCTGCTAACCCAGCTGATCTTATTACTTCATGTGGTCCTGGGTCATGTGGGTTTTGTCCTCATTGACTCATGTTGCTGGCTGCAATGCCTGTAGTACCTTGCATTAGATTAGGACTTGACCTTCCAAAGAAAGCCATGGCAGAGAGGGCATTGGCCTTCCCACTTGGTATCCCTTGCACAGGACTGGTCATGAACATTTTCAAAACCAGATGTTGTTTTTGGGTATGCTGGAATATTAGTTTTGCCTGAGTCCTTAGGGTACCAATCACAGACATATAAATATCAGCTGAAGTGTAGCTAGCAGCAAACTATTAAAAAGAAAAAAATAAGAGAGAAATAATTATTTTTCTCCTGTTATTTGTCTTTCAGATTCCTTCGTAGCCCTGAATGGTAAGGAAGTTCTTAGTTTCGTTATTTACTGACAGCAGATCCATTTTGGAGGAATCACTTTTTACTAAACTTTTAAGTATTTTCATACTTTTGTTTAATGTTTCTTCCTGATTTATTTTGTTCATAGACATTTCAACTCCTTCACCTGGTCATGAAATATCTTACGACACAATTTATGGTCAGTTTATGGATGTTTTTAAAAATCCTCCCCAGATCCTTGTGTTAGCTAGTAGTTCCTGTACTCACATAGCCATTACCCTTTTTTTTACTTTGTCTTGTGTTTGGGGGCCTGATTCACTAATCACAACTAGTCATGTATCTTGATTTTCAATCCATGTTTTCTAGTCCTCCCTCAAAACTGTCTCTATCGAATTTAAGTCAGATATGGCCTATTTTAATGGCACAGCAGCAGACATAATTAAGAGCATGCTTCATCTGAACACTCGGACAAAGGAACACTTGGATACAGTGATGCATCTTACCTGTTCACCAGGAAAAACAAGATAGCTCACATCTCACTCACGTTGGTGTCATGACTGCTACAGCAGCTGATCAGAGGTACCTCAGGGAGAGGAGCAGAACAGTCCCTGGGTTACAGAAAGATTTCTCATAAGGAAAATGAACCTGTTACTCCTGCCAGTTGAGACTGGGTTATGCTTTGATTCTTAAAGGTTCCTATCACTTCTAGGGTAAGTCATTTATGTGTCCATACCTGCAGTATCTTAATGCCTGAATGGTGCCTGGTCTGAAAAGGGGATTCACATAGCCAATTAAATGATCTGAGCTAAGGAGGTGCATTTCTACAAGCTTAGGGTAGCAGTTTCCCATGAGACAGCTGTTAATCTGCGCTTACAGTATTTTCCACCACTTTGTTCCATATATTTGGAAGTGGATTATGCTGGTACTTGGGGTGTAGAATAAATGTCTTCATGAGGGATTATTGCAGAATAAATAATCACTTTAAATTCAAACCTAGATTTATATTGCAGTAGTTTGTAGAAATCCTGAACAAAGACAAGTACTCACAAGCTAGGAGGGCGTATGGTATTGCTCCCAGTGAAGTCAATGGCAAATTTCCATGTGGGGTGGGAACTTGATTCTGAAGTTTCTTTCAGGCTTTACAAGATTAGCAGTTCATCGAAGCTAGGGCAAATTCACCATATGTTTGGCTGAATGTAGCAAAAGGTAGGTTAGTGTGCAGTTGCAATGAACATTTAATTGATCCATTCATCTCATGCCTGCAAAATACAAAGCAGAGCAAATGACAGCTCACTACAGCAGAATATAAATAACTGGAGGCATAGAAATACTGTTCAACATTTGTAAAAATAAAATCAGATTCCCCATGTTGTTTATTACCAGGAAATGGAAAATGTGCATGTGAAACTTGTTTGAAAGTATGGTAATGAAAACCAGTGAAGGGAATATACAAAATCAGAGACAAGTTGAGACTTTGTAATGTATAGGAGACTCATGGTTTCATCTGCATATACAGCTTGTACTTTCTTTCGTTTGAAAATTTCTATGTTCCCAATGCACACAGCAGTAATTAAAGAACAGTAATAATAAAACCCATACTGCTGAATGTAAAGAAAAAGAAAATGGCCTTGGGCATAGTGCTGGTGTGCAAGAAATGTCTTAGGTTTCCTGCTTCTAAGTGCATTTGTAGGCTGCACATTGAGGCTGCAGTTCTTTATCCTGACAGATACCCTATTAGTAGGAACTTAGCAAAACCTGATATTTTAATCTAACTAAGAAAGCATAGAAATGGTTCAGGTGAGCAGCAGAGTGAAAAAAACTGCAATCTCGGGGTGTACAGCTTACAAAAGGGATCCATTCTACTGTCAAACCCAAAGACAGACTCCATGAATTAACCAGACTCTTCAAGTAGGACGCTACTGCCAGATGCAATGGAGAAATGCTGAGCCAACAAGAACATTGGTTCCCATTCATGTTCTGTCTTTTGCAGATGATTTCATTGACCCTCCTCAGGTACATCCTGATATGATGGTCCCTCAGCAAGCCAGCTCGTCTTTTCAGGGGTTTAGTTGAAATACCCATTCTGCTATATACAGTGTTTCATTACATCTACCATGGCAAAATATGATGGGAAATGTGCTATTCACCTCCATTGTTCCTCTACAGGAGGAGTGTAAAAAATTCCAGCATGAGGTAGTAAACCAGTCTCAGTAAATGTACTTATGTTTACTAACTGTAGTGAATCGTCTGAGTAATTTTTTCTTGAGAAAACAAAAATTTTATAAAAGTTGCATTTTAATTTTATTGAGTACAGTTAAATGCATAAGTAAATGGCATTTCATAATAGATTAAATCTTAGAACACTGGGATACACCAGAATGCCAAACAAGTGAATGCTCAGGGTGCTCTTGGATCCAGTGAGATAAATATATCCAAAGGCATCTGAAACTCCAGTTGCAAAAGTCTTAAGGCCTGGTTCCCTTGATTTACTGCACTACAAATGAGCTCACTTCAACAGACTTACTGCCAATCTGTAGCAGCATGAATGAAAGGAAAATCAAGCCCTTAATCTTTGTGTTCTTGGCATCAGCCTCCTCCTCGATTTGGCAGATGGGCTCACTTTTCTGGGCAGTCTCACATGATCTGTAAGCAAGTAAAGCACAAAGTCCACACAGGTAACTGTTCCAAGTATATCCCTTTGACATCCAAGGAGAAAATAGCAGGCTGAAAGTTTGGGTGCAGAAGGTCAGAGAGAAATTACGCAAAAGCCACAAATCTAAACAAGAAACTTAGGCTAGATTCCTCTGCAAAATTGTAAGCAGCTTCAATTACCTTTGGAAACATCAATTCTTAGTGAATTGGGCCCTTATTTTACCTCCTAGCCACAGTCCTTTCTCCCTCTGGAGTATTGATTTAGCCTTTTCCTCTAATTGTCTAATTAGGTTGCTACAGCTGTTAATAGGATAGTGTGCAGACATCTTAACCTCTGAGATCCTAATGACTTGTGCATATTAAAGCAACTATCAAATACGTATTGAATCTCTGTCTTTGTTTTAAACCTGAAAAAAACCTCCTTATGTTTTTACAAGTGCACTTAAAACTAGCTGTAGCTACAGAAGTGCAGCCCTTCTGAATCATTATCCATGTCTGTAGACGCTGAGTGCTTTTACTCTCCTGTTACTTCAGGAGAGTATTACGGCACTTCAAATGAAAAGTTTTGCAATAGTGGAAGAACCTAAACCAGATTTTTTTTAAGTGTGTCTATTTTGGTTTTTACATGTTTGCTTTAAACAATGAAGTTTGAAAAGCACTGTGTCTGCAGTTTTTCAGATGAATTGTCTTAAAACAAAGGCAGTATTGTCTTTTTAGATGTTTAGGTATTAACCAGTATTAACACAGAGGCGCTGGCCACATCTTAGATAAGCTAAAGCCTCTTTAAGTTGCAGCAAAGCCTATTTATGCAGTCAATGTGGTAAAAATGGTGTAATGGGGAAAAAAAAGGCCCAATAAGTGTTGCAAACTAAACAGCACATTGTCAAGGTTTAATAGTGGCTGCATGTGAGAGGGCCAGGACTGGGTTGCCTGCCACTTCAGTCTTTTCTCTGTTTATGAGAGAAACTTAACTAGTTCATGCATTTGTGCTGCCACTCTGTCAGAGTGAAATTCATTCAGCGGGACTGGCTATTCAGGCACTTACAGGACACAGTGG